TATGGTATAATATCTCATGAATTAAATTTATTTGTCCATAGTGACTTGTTATGTTGAACATCTTTTTTTGTGTTGTTTGTTGATTGGCTTTTCCAGTTTAAATGTGTGAATTCTTTTTGTTTTGTTATCAAGTGTAGTTAGTGAATTCTCTGTTTGGTCATAGGTGGTTAGGTAATGATTAAAAATTTCTTCAAATGCTTTGAACACATAAATCTAGCCTTTGTTGAAGAAGGGTACTTTCTGTCTGTTATGTATACAGTGTTCTTCAGGTAAATTAAAACTGCGTTAACTCTCAATCCCCAGCCTTCAGGTTAGCCAGACATGAGAGACTGGGGCCTTCTCAGGTGTTTCCTGGGCATGCACACAACCCTTTTCTTTATAGCTTTTGGATTCCAAGAAGATGTTAGAAAGTCAAAACCCGGTGATATCTCATTTTCTAATTTTCTCTTTCATAGTTGTTGGTCAGCTTCTTGTTAACCATGACTTGTTTTTTTACCCTGGACAATGTGATAATAGACAGTTGTCACTAATTATTGATACAGTGTGAGGCCAAATTCTCAGAAAGGAATTCCTAGGGAGTTCCCAGACAGGTGAAGTCATGCCTTGTCTCTGTTGCAGAGGTTTTTGGGAGCGGGGACCTGGTATGATGGCTCAATGGCTAAATTCTCAACCTTGCCAAGTGTCGGGTTCCCGTATGGATGCCAGTTTGTGTCCCAGCTGCTCCAGTTTCCATTCATTTCCCTGCTTGTGGCCTGGGAAAGGAGTGGAGGATGGCCCTGCACCTAGGACCTGGAAGAAGCTCTTGGCTTCGAATTGGCTCAGATCTGACCATTGTGGCCATTTAGGGAATGAACCAGCAGATGAAGGATTCTTCTCTCTGTAAATCTGATCCACATTTCCAATAAATAAATAAATAAATAAATAAATAAATAAACTTAAAAAAATATATATGGAAAGACAGAGACAGAAAAAGAGAAGAATTTTCTGACTGCACTTTCACTTTCTGAATGGCTGCAATAGCCAGATCTGGGTCAGCCTGAAGCCAGGAACCAGGAAATCCATCTCATCTCCCTCATGGATGGCAGGGTCCCAACCACTGGTGCCATTTGCTGCTGCCTTCCCAGATTTGTTAGAGGAAGTTGAATCTGAAGCAGAGTAGGTGGGACTTGGACCAATACTCTAGAAGTGTGATAGTGATATCTCAGGCAGTAGCTTAATATCCTGTGCCACAGTGCTGGCCCATTGACTGGATGTTTGAAATAGATACATGTATATATGTGATTATATAGTCTTTCTTATTCTCTTAACTAACTTAAAAAGCTAGAAGTATGTCCAGCTAATTGAATAAGTATTATATAGATCGACTCAGTGTCAAAATTGCAGGCCAATATTGCTTTATTAATGAATAAAAAGAAGCAACCAAGCAACAAATTATCAGGTTACATGAACTGCAAAGAATGGAAATGTTTTTACATGAAAAGCTCCGAGTAACTTTTGGAGGACTCACATTTGGTTGGTAGCAGATTTCGCAGTAGAAACCTTAAAGACTAGGAGGGAATGGAGTGGTAAAATCCAAGTTCTGGAAGAAAAATCTTCCAACCCAGAATACCTTAGCCAGCACAACTCTTTCCTAAGTGAGGGAGAAATAAAGACTTTCAAAGACAAGCAAGAACTGAAGGAATGCATCACCTCTGAAGATATGCTATATACGAAACAACAAAGTGTCAGAGTCAAGTTATTACTTACCAGGAAAAACATTGAATGTAAGTGAACTACATCACCCAACGAGAATCTGCAGACTGGCTGACTGAATTAAAAAAAAACAACTAAAACAACAACAATATGCTACAAACAAGAAATACGGTTTGCCCGTAAAGACAGACATACTGAAAGTGAAAGGATAGCATAAGGTGCTGCATGCAAGTGGAAGTCAGAAGAGAGCAGGAACAGCTATACTAAGGCAAAATAGAATTTAGGGCAAACACTGCTAGAACAGACAAGGAAGATCACTATATGATGTTCAAGGGTCAGTTCAGTAGGAAGATCTGAACATGATAAACTTTTTTTTTTTTTTTTTAAATAGTAAGGTCAGATATACAGAGAGGAAGAGAGACAGAAAGGAAGATATTCTGTCCATTGATTCACCCCCCCAAGCAGTCACTAGGACAAGAGTTGAGCTGATCTGAAGCCACAAGCCAGGAGCTTCTTCCAGGTCTCCTATGCAGGTTCAGGGTCCCAAAACTTTGGGCATCCTCGACTGTTTTCCCAGGCCACAAGCAGGGAGCTGAATGAGAAGCGGAATTAGAACTGACATCTATATGGGATCCCAGCACATTCAAGGTGAAGACTTTAGCTTCTGGGCTGCTGCGCTGGGCCTGGTATTGCTGGAACACCTATTTTTATAAGAGAAGCATAATACAATAATATTAGAGTGTATCACCCTCCTTTCATCATGGAGAGATGTACCAGACAAAAAAAAAATACCAGCAGAAAAACAGCAGAGTTGATCTACAGTGTAGACAAAATGAAACTAATGGATATTTATAGAAAATTCTTTACCACAGCTACAGAATACACATTTTAAAGAGTTATTTATGTATTTGAAAGGCTGGGTTACACAGAGAGATATGATAAAATTAGATTACATTAGGCTGTTCATAATTTTTTAGATGTGAAGTGTTATATAAAATTTTTGAGTGCTGTCAGTTGTAGATAATGTGGTAAACTTTTACTCTGCTTTGTAGTTTTATACTCTTTTTAAAAGACTTATTTATTTTTATTGGAAAGTCAGATTTATAGTGAGAAGGAGAGACAAAGATCTTCCAGCTGATTCACTCCCACAGTGGCCAGAGCTGTGTTGATACAAACTAGGAGTTTCTTCTGGGCTTCCTATGTAAGTGCAGGGATCCAAGGCTTTGGGCCATCCTTGACTGCTTTCCTAGGTCACAAGCAGGGAGCTGAATGGGAAGTGGAGCAACCAGGACACGAACCAGTGACTGTATGGATGCTGGTACTTGCAGGTTGAGGAGTGGCCAATTAAACCATTGTGCTGCCTCTGCTTTAAATTCTTTCTTTCTTTCTTTCTTTCTTTCTTTCTTTCTTTCTTTCTTTCTTTCTTTCTTTCTTTCTTTCTTTCTTTCTTTCTTTCTTTCTTTCTTTCTTTCTTTCTTTCTTTCTTTCTTTCTTTCTTTCTTTCTTTCTTTCTTTCTTTCTTTCTTTCTTCAAAAGGCAGTCAGGTGGGGATGGAGGGAGGGAGAGAGAGAGAGAGAAAATGAATGAGATGATCTGTTCTCTGGTTCACTTCCCAAATGGCTGCAACAACCAGGGTTGGGACAGGAGTTAAACCAGGAACAGGGAACTTCATCCAGGTCTTTCACATGAGTGGCAGGTAGGCAAGTATTTGGGCCATCATCTGTTGCCTTCTGAAGCCATCAACACAGGAAGCTTGGTTACTAGTAAAGCAGCCAGGACTTGGTTTGGAATTTTGATGTGTGCTGATGGCACAGCCAGTGGCTTAATGTCTGGCGCCACATCACTGGTCCCTGAGCTTTGTTCTTACCCCTGAAAGTGTGAAGATTAAACAAGTATAACTAGATAACTTTTGCATATTAAGAAATCTCTATGACCTGAAGAAAATAATTGTTGAGTTACGTGTGTGGTCAGCTATAGAATACTTACGAATGAGGGGATGTGAAGAGAAGAAATTGAGTTTGTTTCTCATTCCTTAACTGTACACTGTATGGATGGGTACTTTCCAAAGTAGAGTATTTAGTAGAAAATTATATTTGATGTTTGATACATACACAGACTCTGATGCTGTGATTTGAGTGGGAATTCTTGGAAGCGTGTATAAATGTGTATGTATGTCTGTAAGAATATGATGGTGAAGGGAATGCGGAAGGAAGAACTTCGTTAAGGACCTTAAGTAAGAATGATAAATCTAGATTAGTTATTGTGGAATATAACTTTCACATATATGTATGAAAATATGTGTGTATATATATGCTAACTTCACATTTCAACTTTCAATGAAATTCAGTTGTTATTTCTGAATTTAGAAGGAAAAGGACATTGAGAAATTTAAGTGGAAGACTGTGATGTTTATATTCTTTTAATGGTAACATAGGTTTGAAAAGTTCTGGAAATGAAAGGAAGTGAAACACAGCCATCTAGTGGATAAAAACTTAAGAACCATTAGCTTGTACTCACACTGAAGTACTGTGAGCACTCCTGAACATTTCTCAAGGATTATTACTAGGAGGGACTGTAGTTAAGCATCCCTTCTCACACAAACGAACAGTATACATTTATGCAACAAATAATAAGTAATAACAAATAATAAGTTTTAATAAGTGGAGAAAATCTCATGACAATTTAATACAACTTTATATAAAAACTCTCTGGCTAGGCCCAGTGTAATAGTGTAATGGTTGGGGTCTTCGCCTTGAATGTGCTGGGATCCCATATGGGTGCCAGTTCTAATCCTGGCAGCTCCACTTCCCACCCAGCTCCCTGCTTGTGGCCTGGGAAAGCAATCGAGGATGACCCAAAAGCCTTGGGACCCTACCCCTGTGTGGGAGACCTGGAAACAAATTCCTGGCTCCTGGCTTCAGATCAGCGCAGCACCGGCCATTGTGGTCACTTGGGGAGTGAATCATCGGACCGAGGATCTTCCTCTCTGTCTCTCCTCCTCTCTGTACATCTGCCTTTCCAATAAAATAAATAAATCTTAAAAAAAAAAAACCTCTCTGGCGTGGAACTGATATAACACTTTAGTGTGCTACACACATTTTAATTTTGCCATGTAATGATCAGGTTTGTGTCAAACTCTAGAATTACTTTTTAGATGTTTGGGTGTTATAGCTAGGTCTAGGCCTCTCTTGCCAAAGTTAACCTGTTTTTCTAGTTGAAGCTCAGGTTTAGTTACTGTCCTCGCTAGAGTAACTTTTAGTCACCGATGACATAAAAGCTTTATTGATGCAAACATGAATTATTTGCAGGAACAAGATAATGCTGTACAAAATATGCACAAGAAAGTAGAACAATTAGAAACAGAACATATGGACTGCTCTGAACTCTTACAACGACAAACGAATGAACTTGAATTTAGTACTCAACGAGAGGAACGTCTTAGGAAAGAATTCGAGGTATGTTTTATAATCATTACACAGCATGCGTGTTACTCAATCAGTGATCTAAGGTTAGATACAGCCTTTTCTTCCAAAAACTATGAAACTATTTTTGAAAGGTATTTTACTTATGTTTTATATTTGGCATTGTTGAGAACTTTTGTTTCTGAGTCAAATGTATCTTTCCTCTAATGTTTAAAATCCATTTAGTATTCACAGTTAATTCTTATGGACTATTTGGGACATTTGAGAGTCATTCCTGTCAGTTCAGGAAAATGTGTGGTATATCTAGATTCTAAATGACAAAATACTAAATTTTAATTTTGAAATTTGAATTGCGTACTAGCTGAATTTATGAGATGCATTTCAGGTGAGATTTTAGATGGGGAAAATCCATTTGCAGGTACAGGATCCCAAGGCTTTGGACCATCCTCAACTGCTTTCCCAGCCCACAGTCAAGGAGCTGGAAGGGAAGTGGGGCTGCCGGGATTAGACCCAGTACCCGTATGGGATCATAGTGTGTGCAATGCGAAGATTTTAGCTGCTATGCTACCATGCCGGGCCCTGGCCTAGAAATTTTAACTGAAGCAATATGTATATGTATAACAGTAAGAGTTATAACTTTTAATTCGATGTTAAAATCCCTTTGCCTTGGTCCTGGCATGATTATCTAGTGACAAAATTTTCACCTTGCATTTGCTGGAACCCACATGGGTACTGGTTCGTGTCCTGGCTGCTTTACTTCCCAAGCAGCTCCCTGCTTGTGGCCTGTGGTAGCAGTCGAAGATGGCCCAAAGCCTTGGGACCCTGCACCCATGGATCTGTGGATCTGCCTTTCCAATAAAGTAATTACATTTAAAAAAAAACATCGGGTCTGGCACAGTAGCCTAGTAGCAAATGTCCTCGCCTTGCATGCCCCAGGATCCCATATAGGCCTTGGTTCATATCCCTGCTGCTTCACTTCCCTTCCAGTTCTCTGCTTGTGGCCTGGAAAAGCAATTGATTATGGTCCAAAGCCTTGGGACCCTGCAACTGCATTGGAGACCTGGAAGAAGTTCTTAGCTTGTGGCTTTATATCAGTTCAGTTCTGGCTGTGTGGGCCACTTGAAGAGTGAACCAGCAGATAGAAGATAGATAGTGCACACGTGAGAGAGATCTTGGTTTACTTTCCAGATGTCTGCAGCAGTCTAAACTGGACCAGGCTGAATCAGATGCCAGGAGTTGGATCTCTCACCTGCATGGCAGGCGGCCAAGCATTTGGGCCACCTTCTGCTGCTTCTCCAGGCCATTAGCAGGGAGCTGAGGTGGAAGTGGAGCAACTGTGACACAAACTGTTGTTCATACAGGCTTCACAGGTGGTGGCCTAACCCTCTGCTCCCTAACTTTGGCTCCTAGATTTGGCTTTAGATAGGTTAAATTAGGCACATTAATTAGATGGCCAATTGAAGATACTGGGTAAACACTGGAAATCTTATTGTAGGGTGGTAAGGAGCTGTAATATTTCACTGGAAGAATTTTGAAATGTAACAATCTGTATGATATTGCTTTGTTTCTTTTTCATTTCTGCCAAGAGTGATAATGCTGGCTAGAAAATGAAAAAACAACAACAACAACAAACAAGAACAACAACAAAACCCCATTGAACCATTATCACAGCCAATATATGTGAATATTTCATCACTGTGAAAAGAAACCCACTACCCACCACTCGTTTCCCTCCTCTTTAGTCCTAGGTAGCCACCAATCCACTGTGTGTCTCGATAGCATTTTCTTTTCTAGATATTTCATATATCTGGAATTGCAGTGTATGGTATTTTGTGATATTTCGCAGTATGTAGTAGTAATTTATATCTTTAAATAGAATATTCCATTTTATTACACATTTTTGTGTATCTATCTGTCAAGTGATGGCTCTGTGTTTCCACTTTTTAGTTATTCTGGATACATTTTCAGTTTCCTTAGATATATACCTAGGAATGAAATTTATGGGTCACATAGAATAACACTATGTTTAATTTTTAAAAAAACTGTCAAACTGTTTTGCTGTATTTTCTGCTCCTGCCTACTAGGTTCTGATTGCTCCAGATTCTTGTCAGTATTTTTTATTGTCAGTCTTTTTGATTGAAGCCTCCTTAGTGGGTCAGAAAGTATGTCTCCTTGTGGTTTTGATTTGCGTTTCAGTAATGACCAGTGATACTGAGTAAAATATCATGTACTTGTTGGCCATTGGCCTGTCTTCTGTGCAGGAATGTCTATTTGGATCTCTTGCTCATTTTTAAGACGGAGTTAGTTGTAAAGCTCAGGTTATTTTTTTGGAAGTTTATTTCAAAGATGAGGGAATCAAAGATGCATGTGGGGCATGTTTGGGTTGGAGTGATCAGGAGGAGTAAGGTGGGAGACAGGGAAATGTTTCTGCCTTCCATTCCAGGTGTGCAGGAAGAGAGGGAGAATCCCTCTACATTACCCGTCTTCACAGGATCTTAGGAAGGGGAGTGGTTTCATGTTGCAGTCCCAGGTCCCCAGTGATGGGAAGTGTGTGCTAGGGTAAGGGTGATTCAGCGATGAGGGTGTGACTTCTAGTTTGTGAAGGGCCCTACCTGTCTCATTTCATTTCCCCCATCAAAGATTTCCAACTGTTAAACTAAGGGAGCAGATATATCACATCTTCTATAGTTAACTTCTTCCTGATTAGGGACATAGGGTTTGCTTATCCTGGGTTCCGACATCTCTCTCTTATATGAATTTCTCTCATGAGCCAGAGAATTTCTATTTGGAGCCAGTGCCCTGTCCCCTACATCTTCACCATTACTGTGAGATTTTGTAGGCTTCTTTGCATAGGAGTCAGCAACAGAGGTGGTCTAACCATGTAACATGTGCTCTGAGGCTAGACCGTACACCCCAAGATTGGATTCCTAATGAGCCTGAGGACAACAGGAGGTGCTTGCTGATGCCAAAAGTCAGTAGTTGGCCTCTCCACATGTTGGATGCTGCAGCCTAGGTTAGAGAGCACTGGAGTACTGGCTGTGTAGGCCCCTAGCCCAGCCTCTTCCAGCCCTGGTTCTTGTGTGTGCTGGTGGGTGTTATGACCTGGTTCTGGAAGGTCCTTTCGGTTCCCTGCCTGGCCTGTGTCTTGCCTTGTTTCTTGCACACTCTGGTGGGTGTAGCAGCCTGGTCCAGAGGGGGCCTGACTCACTTGGCCCCTCTGCCTGGCATGTCCCCAACCCTGGCACTTGTGGAATCCAATGGGTACAGCAGCCTGGCTCAGTTGGGGCCTTCTAGACTTCTCTTTCTGGCATGTCCTCAGTCCAAGGTCTCACACATTCTGAAAGGTACAGTGGCATGGCCCAAGGAAGCTCATGGCACTGATTTTCCAGGTCTCCCTGCCTATTCTGCCATCTACCCTGGCTCTTGGACACACTGATGGTGCAATGACTTGCCCCAAGGAAGCTCAAGGCTGCAGCTCTGCCCATATCAAAAGCTCTCAATGCCCCCGACCCTGGTCCAGGAACTCTGGCAAGCAGGTTGTGGCAGTTTGTTCAGTCCCCGCAACCCTTGTAGGTTTAGTGTTAAAGAGTAGAGAATTACATAAGTGATAAACATTTCTATAGTTAATATAGAGTTGGTCCAGAATGCCAGACCCAGAATGCCATGCAGCTATTGGCTGCTTTTGTGCCAGGGGTATAACACTTAGGTACAATGCAACCTAGGCTGTTGGGTATAGCTCAGGGGTACCATATTAATGTATGATATTGGGGGGAGACTGGGTGTGTGGCATATGGGAATTCTCAATAGTAATGCCAAGCGTGAACTTGGCAAAGATGAAATTATACTGTAACCATACATAGTCGAATTCTTTTATAAGGTTACAGAAATAAAAAAAAAGTGGTTATATTTTCAACAACAGTTCAAACTTCTGTTTTACTTGTGTGAACACTTTTTTCATGTCATCATATTTTACACTACTTTTAATACTATGTATTTTATGGATGACTTATTAATAAGGATTAGCTTAGTTAATGGTCTGAATATTAGAATTAAAAACCATTTAAAAGTCTCTTTAGGATACTATCATATTTGATGATCACTAAAAATATTTTAATTTCTTATAGTTGTGAAGAAGTACTGGGTATCAGTAATTTCATTTTTGTAGATAGAATGCTTGGTACACCAGTTTTGGCTCATATGACAAATGTCTAATGCCTACTTTAAAGTGTATTTGTAGATCACTTACCACTGATTCCTGCCCCTCTCCCCAGCCCCCGCACATCCCCTCTCCCGTAAAACATGTAACTGCCGGCCCAGCATTGTGGCTCGGTGGCTAAATCCTCAGTTATAAGCAGCAGGGTCTCATTTGGGCACTGGTTCATGTTCCAGCTGCTCCACTTCCCATCCAGCACCCTACTTATGGCCTGGGAAAGAAGTACATGCTGGCCCAAAGCCTTAGGACCCTGCACCTGTGTGGGAGACCTGGAAGAGCCTCTTAGTTTCTACTTTGGATTGCCTCCTCTCTGGATGTTTCAGTCAGTTGGGGAGTGAACCAACGGATGAAAGATCTTTGGCTCTCCTTCTCTTTGTAACTCTGATATTTTCCCAGTGAAAATAAATAAATCTTTAAAAAATGTAATTGCTCTAATATTTTTTCTTATATTATTTTGGATTGCTTATATTTTTACTATTACTTTTCTGAGCTATTCACTAAATACTTTGAAAAAATATTTATTGAGAAAGAGACAGAAAAAACAAAACAAAATCAACAACAGGAAGGACAAAAAATAAATTAACAACACCATGAAATTAAATAACATGCTACTGACTGACTAATGTGTTGCTGAAAATGAAAATCAGGAACCTTCTTGAAGAAAATGATGCTACTGTATGATCTATGAGTATTTGGAGAATTTAATCAGAAGAAAGTGTTTTGAAGAGATGAAACTAACCAAAAACATCGAAACCCATACGATATAGTTTCCACTGATTTTTGTTGGTGAAATGTGTCTCCTGTAGGTAACAAATAGATG